AAAAAAAAAAAGTTGTCAGCGGGAGCAGATGAGAGGAGAGTGGTGGGGCCGGGGGAAGGGTAAAATCGGGAATACAGAGTTTTTAATTTATGAGTTATGGAGGATCCATGTGTTGGCCTATGTGGAGCGGTGGGTCCCACATTTGGTCAAATTGGAATTGACCAGCTTTGACCAGTCCTTCCCCACTGCACTGACTCTGCTAAAAGACACTGTCATCCCTCATATATAGTCCGTGGTACTCTGCCACACCCAACAAACAAACAACACAAACAACACAAACAACACAACACAAATTTCTTTTAAAATGTAATTCCAATACTATCTTTAATCCTTTGTAAATATTAGTATTTCTAATTCTAATGGAAAGTTTGGTGTCCCGTAATTTGAAATGATGTGATAATTTATCGAAGTGGACTTGGATTAAGTCTGAAAATAGAGGAAATATGAAACAAGTTATTATTTTTAACAGGGGATTAGAGTAAAATTGTGTATACAATGGAGATTTAAACTCTCTCGACAATGGAGAAAAAAACTTTTAAAATAAAATTGAGACGATAATTTGGAAAGTTTCAGATTCTATCACATCAAGTTTCAGTTCAAAATGTTAATGAATGTTTGTTCAAAGAGAATTTTTGAAACCTCAGAAAAGATCAAGGGTAATATTGAAACTTTTGGATGTAAAGATTTTTTTCTTTTAATTTAGAATTTCTTTCTATACTCTCTTTAATATAGGTAGAGGACATCTTTAATGTTTTAAAAGTTATAAAAAAAAATCATTAAAAGTTATAAAAAAAAATCATTCTCATCTCTACACAGGCAATACTTATCAATTATTATCTTAAACTTTCAATTTTAAGAAATTGTAGCTTGAACTTTAATATGTTACAAATATTTTGACTTAGAAAAATATTTGCAATATTTACCTAAAACTTATAAACTTTCTAATATCCTTTTTCTTTTGAAGAATAATTAAAAAAAATTCTCAATTTGATGGGATTTTAAGAAAAAATGACATTAGAGTAGGATTTTATTGAAATTTATGTGTTCGAATAACTATAATAGTCAATTTTGTGTATTGATCAAATTTAATTACAAAAACATAATTTCATTAAATTTAGTGAGCTTTTGGAGATTTTTCATAGTCAATTTTGTGTATTGATCAAATTTAGTTACAAAAACTTGATTTTCATTGAAATTAGTGAGTTTTTGGAGATTTTTGTTAAAATTAGTGAGTAAACTAGCCAAAAATGAATCAAAGGTGGAAATTGCAACATTTATTAAGTCTAAGATCCAACCAGATGAAATTGAAAGTTTAAAATGAATATTGATACACCTTGCAAATTTAGTGGTAAAAATTAGTTTTTTTTTTTTACTTAAAGAAATTCTATTACAACGAAAATTGGTAATAGAAGATTTTTGTTGGTAACAAAGTAAAAGATTGGGGTAAATTGAAGGCAAATAATATAAAACTTCTGTATGCAGTTGGTTTAATTTTTTCTCCTAATGTTAATTTTGAAACATATTATAAGCTTGAGAGTACAGTTGAAAATTTTTAGAAAATATGAGAGGTCATTTTGTACAATTGTTTTTTTTTTAAAGAGTAGCGAAATTTTTTAAATACTTATTTTATTTTCGTCTTTGAATATTTTATTTTTGTTTTTCAACTTTTAAGTTTCTTGTTTTAGTTTCTACGATAAATTATTAGAAGAAACAGTCACATGTGACTAATAATTTTACATCGTTTGATTTATAAGAGAGAAACCATAAAAGTATCTCAAATCTATATCCAGTAGTTATTAGAGGCATCCAACGGTATTGTAGTAACTTCATTAAATAATTTTTAGTTTCTACGCTTTTGCACAAAGAGATATTTTGGTATTTGTCGCTCTTTTTTCATTATTCGTTTAACGATAATTTGGATTCATTTTGAAACTCGACGTATAACCAACTACACATGACTTTTGAACATCCATTCACCAAAAAAATCAACAATTAGGTAAATAAGAAAGATATACCTATGTTTGGTTTTTGTTAAATGATTTCTAAAAAATTAACGATACTAAACTAGTATGTTTTCTTTTTCTTTTTACAAAGCTCAAAAGTAGATTATTTGAAACCTTTTATATCTAATGGAATAAATACAAAAATTAAAGTTAACCATCAAAATATAATTTAAACCTAAAAAGTTGACCACCTAGTTTATGGAATAAATTTTTTCGTTGTGTAATAAGTAAATATATGGTGCAATTGTGAATATGACAAAAAAAAAATTAGTAAAACTACCCTAATAGCAATAATATTTAGTTTTTTTCAAATATAACACTTTAAAAAAAACAAAGGTCCAATTTTAAAATGATAACTTTACCCGAATGATACGCATCTATAATACATCTGTTATATATCTGTATTATATCTGACTATGATATATATATATATATATATATGTGGTATACATTTGATATACTACTGGTATGAGTGTCTGTGCAATATATATGTGATATACATCTGATATACTACTATATAAGTGTTTATTTTAAAAAATAGGTGACATATTTTGAAATGTATAAAAATATTTTGCTACTCACTGCAATTCCCTATATTATAATAATTTATAACTTGTAAGTACCACACCATAGTGTAGTCAAAAAAAAAAAAACACACCGTATTAGTCTTATAAATTATATTATAATATATTTAAGAAACCAATTTAATTCATGTAATTTTAAAATTTTAAAAATTAGTTATATAACAAGTTTTTTTTTTATTACATTCAAAGTTCAATATTAAAATTAAAATTGAAAAGTTACTTAGAATTACGAAAAAAATTATTCACAACATAATCGTCCTCGATAAAATGTAATACCATATGGGGGAGTTCACGGGGTGGGGACGGGGAAGTCCCCCTCACCCCATTTAATTCTCCCCAAAATTTTGTCAAGTTTGAGTAGAGATTTCCAACAGAAATCGAGTTCCTCATGAAACTTCATTTACATGGTTAAATTTCCCTCATTTAAATGAAAATAAAATTAATTTAATGCTTAGGTTTTTCTAATGGGACAGGGCGAGAAGTTGATGGGGGATAAAACGTCTCCATCACAGCTCCATGGGAGCCTAAACGACGATTTCTCGAGGGAATTAACAATTATTTGGTAGGGATCGGATTTGGAAAAAAATATATTCACAAGCAATATCTAGACAACATATCATAGACGTGTCGATGACATTTCGGCATGTCAACGATATGTAGTTGAAAATTGGTTCATGCATATTTAAATATTTAAGAGTTTTTTAAATTATAATATAGGGTAAGTTTAGGGATGGTAATGGGTGAAATTAAAATAATTAATACTCATTTGGTAATGTTCTCATTTTTATTATTCGTTTCCAAATTTATTAAAAAATCTAAGTATTTGAAAACTATTTATGTTTCTTGTTCTTTATAAGCATTCTCAAAATGGCAAAAACAAGTTGCTTGTTCAACATTTCCAATTTATTAAAAAATAAAAATCTTGAATTTATAGTTGTTATGACCATTTTTTTTTATTGAAAAGAGTAAACTGAAATAACTAAATGCACCCTTATCAAACTTAATTTTGTCTTTGTTTCTGAATAATAATAAACCAGGTAGAAAAACAAAAGTGAGAAACAAATAGTAATAATAAGAATACCTCCTCTAGTCCTTTCCAATAATCAAATGCCAATACTATAATTGGCAGAATTTTTTTAATATATTTAATTTAATATTCTATGATATATTTTTAAAATTATATAGCATGCATAGAAAGGAGTTTTAATCTATAAAATAAAATGTAAATAGAAGAAGTAAGATACACAGCAGAGAAGGAAAAATAACACAATGGAAGAGGCTTTTAATTAGCTTTTGAAATTGAAAAATAACCAAACTGAAATTTAAAAAAAAAATTGACTAAAAATAAATTAAATGTACATCTATGTGTAGGGCAGGCCAATCCACATAGAAAAATAATAAATTATATTAAACAAGTTTTTACAAAATCATTAAATTCCACATGAAAACAATAATCAATTGTACTAATTTTGTAAATTAAATAACCAATTATCAATCTAAGCATCTCCACCTGATCCAGTTGGGTCCTACACAAACAAAAAATTAATAAAAATAAAAAACAATAAACAAAAATATACCATACAATTAAATATATATATTGAACAAATGAACCAACTCATGATGCTTCTTCACCAACTCATGATGCTTCTTCAACCGTACCACTAGACTCGATCCATGGTTATTAATTACCTAAACTACATAGACCACGATTGACATCAATTAACTCATGTCCACGATTTTCTACTCATATATACTACACAAACCACAATCAACGTCGTCAATTGTAGTCTTTAGTAAAGACTAAAATGAACCAGATTGACCAAAACACAACATAACTCAACTAGTTAAGGTACATATCCTCGACTAAAAGGTCGTGGGTTTGAATCTCCAACCCCAAAACAGTCGGTACGTGCATATATGCTCGATATGATGCATGAGAGAGAGAGAAGAGAGAGAGAGTACCATGGAAGAATGAGGATTGGGAGGAGGAGGGATGTTGTGGATCATATTGTGCATCATGGTCTGCATGAGAGAGGGCATTTGGTCCCTAAGTTGGGAGAGCTCAGACTTGACACCCATCAGCTCAGCTTGCATTGCCTCATTTTGCTCTTTCAAAACCCTCACCTCTTCTCCACTGTATAAACATGATGATGATCCATACCCTTCTGATGATCTGCTACTTCTATTGTTTTTCCCTGTAGTATATATATTATATACAGCCTCAATTATTCCATTCTAAACCAATTTAGACAACATGATAATCTTTTACTTTCTATTAAAAATTATTTCTTTTTTCTTTTTCTTTTTTTTTTGGGTATATTTGCTTTGTATTTTCTAAGTTGAAAATGGATAAAATAGCACTTTTTTTTCTCTTTTAATGTTTTTGAAATGTGAAAGTAGAAACAAGAAAGAACAAACCAATAATGGCTCCTTTTTTTATGTGCAGTACTTGTCTTTGTTTCTTGCCCTTTTTTTTTTAATGTTTTTCGATTTCTAAAATAAGAAAATGAAAAATAGGTGTTTTTGGTTTCTTTTTGTTTTGAAGCTATTTTCGTGTTATCTTAAGCACCATTTGAGAATAATCATTTTGTTTTGGGTTTTCAATCTGTTCACTGCTTTCACCTATGTGTTTCTTTGTTTTACATATGCCTTTTGAAAACGTCTTTAAAATCTAAGGTAGATTTTGAAGAGCCAAAAAATAATTTGAAAAAACTTGTATATGTTTTTTTTTAAGAATTTAAATGTATTTTTTTAAGAAACGTCAAAATATAATTAAAAAAAATTGTGAGCAACAAATATAATTTAAAAAATAGAAAGCTAAAAACATTTTCACATTTAAAAAAAATTGAAATTTTGACTTGGAAAAATAATTTTTAAAAATAAAATATGCAAAATTATTATGTCATTATTATTCTATAATATTAATTCTGCATTCATAAGTCAAACATACGAAAAATAACTCCTTTTTATTCATACAAAACAAGGGACAAGACCCATATACTTTTCGTCTCCAAATTCTTAAATAACTTCAAAACATTTTTTCTTGAAAAATGAAAATAATTAAATTACCAAATGCATAAATTCTTACAAAAAATTGACCCTCAAAATTTTCCATTTCAAAAGATTGAACCTAATTTTAAAACAAGAAACAAAGAAATTAATAGTAATATGGTTCCGTTTAAACCTTCCATGCAAGCCATGCATGGGAATGAAACGATTGATATTTGAAATTTAAAAAAAAATATTATTGATGAGAAGAATAGTGACAAATATATACCGGAGAGGTTGGCGACGGCGGCGACGAGATCCGCGATTCCTTGGCGGTGGAGGTGGTTGCGGGTTTCTTCAATGTGAAGCCTCCGTTTTTGAAGCTCCATTAGCTGTTGGTGTCGAATCTCCCTCTGCTCCTCGCAGCTCCGCAGCGCTTGAGCCAGCGCCGAGGCGCTCCTCTCTATGCTTGACCCTATGTCTCCCATTTTTCTCCTCTTCGTTTCCATGCTCTCTCTCTTCTCGCTCGACTCCGTCCCAGATGATGATTCTACAAACACAACCCACCAAAACGTAGTCAGAATTATTGTTAGCTTATCGACACGAGCTCAACAACGAATGGTATCTAACTTCTTTCTTTTTGGGATCGAAAGTCAAGATAATCGTCCAACTCTATGTTTGTTGTATTAATTTTCTTAAAATTAGTATAATAACTCAATGAAAAATACTTGCAGTATAAGAATTAGTAGCTTTCTTGACATTTTTCTTTATCCCGACATATCAAAAAACGTCGAGCAAAGATCTTTATCCCGACGAGGTATTAATTGTTGGGATAGACCAACTTTCTCCCGACGTTTTTTAAAAAACGTCGGAAAAAATTAAACATCTCCCCAATTTTTTGGAAAGATCGAAAAAAATTAATTAGATGCCTTATCCGTCAGCATTCATTTATGTGTGCTTGGCCACCTAGAAAAATTTAATAGTTACTAAAAACAGAAAAAGATATCCTTTTTGCATTAAAAAATTTAAAGGGAGTTGGCAAAAAAATGGATGCCGCACAATAAGCATGGTGAACAACAATAATTTTCCTAATTTTTGTTTCAATAATTTTGTTTATTATTATAAAGTCTATTTTGAAAAAAAAAAGTGTTTTATTTAATTTTAAAAACTTAGACCTGTGTTCAGTACAATTTTACAAATTTGAAAAAATTGGTAAAATAGAAAAACATAAAAGGAAATGGAATTCCTTCGAACCCATAAAATGAGTAGCATAAAAAATTATTTCCCTAATTTTCTGTCAACTAAATAATTATGATCTCTTTTACCCACGGTTCAAATATATTTCGTTTATTTATTTATTATATATTAAAGTCCATTTATATATTTCTAAAAGTTTTCTATATAACTTTTATATACTTTTATAATAAAAAAAAATTATGTCATGTGACGATGTATTATATGTCATTGTTAAATGGTCTTTACATAACAGTTTAGATTATAAAATTGAAACTTTAGAAAATACAGAAAGACACAAATATAAAATTTTCAATTTGGTTCGTAGGTTTTAAAATTTTTAAATTCATCTGTAATTTTAAAAGTTTCAATTTGATATCTATGGTAAGACCAAATCTGTCCATTCTATTATAAGTTGTTATCCTATTAAATAAATAACACATTTTCTAGTTATGTGACCATAATTTGATTTTCAAGCAACTCAGTAATGATTTGTGATGTTTAACAAATTAAAATTTTAAAAGTGGGGACTAATTTTAAACTAAATCCAAAATACAAAGATTGAATTAAACTTTCAAAATCTTAAGACTCGTTTGATATCATTCATGTGTCTCGTTTCTTGTTTCTCATTTTCAATAAATTATATATAAATTTTGGAAATAACAAAATCAAGTTTTTCTTTTTTTACATTTTTAATTTTTTTTAAACATAAATAAAAGCATTATTTTATCATCTTTTTACTTATAAAATACCTTTTAAATATTAAAAATTAATTTTCATATAAAAAATTTATTTAAAATGTTAGAGAACCAAAAACAAATTTTTTTCCAAATAAATCTATTTCTTTTTTCAATAAAAGAAGAATAACACCAATTGAGTTACAAGAAGTAGTTTTATTTTTACTTAATAAAGAATAGAAAACAAAAAACAAAAAATAACAACATTACCAATTTCAATTGAGATTAACTTAAAATAAAAGTGATAGGGATCATAGGGTTGAAATTAGTAATCTAACCAATATATATAATAAATAAATAAAAAGAGAGGAATTTAAAGATGTAATATTTAATTATGGGAAGGGTGAAAAGAGAATTTTTGCATTGCATGCTTAGATTTGATACACATATTGTATTATCATATCATTGGGAGAATCTCTGAAAACTTAATCTTAAAGAGGACTTAGCCTTTTTAAAAATGATTTTTATTATTATTTTTTCCTTGGGTTACCAAACGGATCTCCCCATGATCTCAATCTGATCACAGTTCCCTCACTGGTCTGCATCATTGTCATTAGCCCCTTTTTCTCTCGTTCCAACATTAGCTAATACAAGTCTTGGTTACAATTCCACCACTTATTATTTAAAATTTCAATTCTACCCTCCATCTATTAACTAATTACGAATAGTACTTTCCTAGCAACTAAAGAGAAAAAGTCCGTAATTGCTAAAATTTTAATGGCATCCAACAAAAGATTAATCTAAATATTGTCTTCTAATTTTTAGATAATCTTTTTCTACCATACAAATAGTCTTGTTTACGGTTAAGTTTTTGACAGGTAAGAGAGAAGAGATGTCATTCTCTTATTTTTGAAGGGTTTATTTGGTAATGGTCTTGTTTATTGTTCTCGTTTTCAATTTCGTTAAAAAAGTCTAAGCATCCGATAACTATGTTCGTTGTTTCTCTATTTCTTATTCTAGTTTCCATTTTGTTCCAACATAAATGAAAATCTTGTTTTATCATTTTTGAATCTATAGATGTTGAGATCATCTAATTCTATTTTTTTTAATTAAAAACAAGGAAACAAAAATGAAATAAAAAATGTTATCAAACTAGTTCTAGCAACGAAGAACTCTAAATTTTCTGGTACTTGTTGATTTATTTAATAGTTGGAGGGTAAATTTGAAATTGGGCGTTTTGAAGAGAGAAGATCTAGACCGTTGATGAAGGAAAGGGAATGATGGGATGTAATCGGAGGGAGGAGATTGGAGGGAGGGTATTGGTAGAGCGGTGGAGGCGTCCGTACAGGATGGGAAAAGGAATAACGAAATGAAAAGGAAGAGGAATACGGGCGGGGTCCTATTAAATGGTGGCAGAGTCAAACCCTGCAGCTTTGACCAAAAATATTAACTCTCTTTTTTTTTTTTGAAAAAAAAATTATCATGGAGAAAAAAATAATAATAATAATAAATGAAACTCCGAAAACGAAAGGTCCTGATTTTAATTTTTTAATAATAGCGGCAGAGAAAAAGGGAGTGACCTGAGGCAGCCGGAGAAGTGGTTGTCGGCGGGAGAGGCGGCGGCGGGGCGGAGGACGGAGACGGGAGAACGGCGGCGGCGGTGGCGCCTGATCTGTGGGAGTTGGAGTACTTCCTCTGAACGACGTCGTTGAGCGCTTGGTAGACTTCGAAGGGCATGTTGGAAGGGAGATTATTGTCTTTTCGCTCGTGCTTCTCCATTTTCCAGTAGGAGGGGGAGGGGGAGGGTTGTTCGGAGGCGGAGGCGCACGCGCGGGAGTCGTACTCGCGGACTTTTTTGTAGTCGCGGAGGAGATTGTCCCACTTGTCGTTGCACTGGTTCTGGCTCCGGTGGCAACCTTGGCTCCAGCAGTAGTTCTCCACCCACTTCCACCGGAGCTCCCCGCCCTTACGCGCCGCCGGGTCCGGTGGCGCTAGGTTCGCCTTGCTCCGCCGCTCGTCGTCAAGCTTCTTCGCGGCTATTAAAATCATGGTCTCCTGGAGAGTCCAGTTGCCCTTGCGGTACTCACGGGCGGCGGCATTGATTGATCTGGTGGTGGAGGTGGTGGCGCCGCCGTGGATTAGGGGCAAATGTAGGAGTTGCTGGTGGTGCTGATGCTGGTGCTGGTGCTGGTGCGGCGGCTCCGATGATGTCGTCGGAGGATCCGACATAGCTTTGGCATCTCAAAGACTCACAGATGGATAAAGAAGAACACAAAGAGAGAGTGTGTGAACAAGTCTCTTTCTTTCTCTCTCCCTCTCTCTCCGTCTTATTATTTTTTTTCTTAATTATTTTTTTCTTTTTTCAGCTCAGTTAAATTATAAGTTTGGTCCGCGCTTTTCAGAGCTGTGTTTCTATTTGATTTTTGTAATTTGTATTCAATAAATAGGACCATGGACTTTTAAGGATCTATTTAGTATCGTTTGAAAATGAGATGTCCTTGATACCTATGGATTCAAAGATGATAAAATTATGTTTTTATTTATGTTTTGAAACAAATTAAAAATGAGAATAAGAAACAAAAAAAATTTAGTTATATTGTTTCTAAAATTTCTATATAATTTTGAGAATATATCTAAAAAGAAAATGAGAAACAAGAAACATGATTAATAGTTGTCAAATGCTTAAGTTTCTTACTAAAATTAAAAACAAAAAACAATAAATTGGAACATTACCAAACGAACTTTAAATTTTTCTAATATATATTACTAGTTAAGATATATATCTCATTCTCTTGTGTTGTTATTTGAAAAAAAATAAATTGGGTCGATTTTTTTTTCTACCTCAAAAAGTTTCTAACAATGAGTCTATCTAATCTTTGTATTTAAAGAGTTTATAATAAGTTTCTATCTTTCAATTTTTGTATGTTGAATAAGTTTTTACGTTAGTTGAATACTAAATTCCTAAATCTACTTGATTTATCCATAAATAATACATTTCGTATGCCACAAAGATATCAAATATTTAAAAATATGTATTAAATTTAGAAAGATAATAATAGAAATATAAACCTACTAGTAGATATTTTAATTATTCTTTTTATATCATGTATTTCAATTGTTAGCTATGTTCATATTGGTATTAGTAATACAAATTCATTTAATATAAAATTAAAATTGACAATATTTAAAATTTTACAAATTAGAGACGGAGGAAAAGGGAGGCATTTTTTCTACTTTTAAAAAATAAAAACTAAAATTAATCAAATTTTTAGTATTCAAAAGTATGATAGATGCTCGTTCCAACATCTAAGTAATGATATCATCCAACCAAAATTTCAAGCTTCTACTGTAAATGCTTTAGAAGACTAAATAAACACTATTTCAAAAGTGACAAAGTGAACATAGTTCAAAGAATGTGTGAGTTCGATCTTCTACTCCTACATATTGTACTCTGAAAAAAAAGAAAAAAGAAACTACTTTAAGAGTTTATGTATTAATCTAAACGTTCAATTAGATAAAACACTTATTTCTTGTAAGATCGTTGAAAGAAAAACTAAATTAAATACATTTTAAGTCTGGAGGTCGATTGTTCAAATCTCTAACATTCTCACTTTTTTTCTCCTTTTTTTTTGGTCAATTTTTGGTAGAGGGAATTATAGGGTGACGAATCAATGATTACAGCGTCGGAGCTAGAAGAGTGCCACGTGGAGTGAGGGTAAGTGGGGCCCACCACAAAACTTCACGTGGCGTGATTTTATTACGGGTGGTGTACAGTAACAGGAGATCCTTTGAGTGGAAGAGAGCTCCCTCCCCAATGGCCAATCAATTGCGGGATTTTGACGAGAAAATCAAATACGTTCAATTTCTCGCGAGATGTTTCGTTTGTCTCTTCTCCTCTTTTTTTTCGTCAATGTGCTGTTTCCTTCATGGAGGCAGCCTTTAATTTTCTTTTTCTAATTTTAATTTTAAATTTATATTTTTCTTTTTTGTTTGGGATTTCGGGGGAAGAACAGTGTTTCTGTGGTCAGGAATTTATTGTTTTTCTATTTTACATTTTCGACCCGGAACTTTTCTTGATTTCCAAATGTGGCCCCCGCTCTCCAGTTTGAAAATGTCGGCTTGTGACGTGGCATGTGTTGAAAAAGTTATCACCATCATAATTGAAAGAAGCCCATTCCTTTCGGGCTGGATTTCCAGTTTATTTGGGCCAACTTTTTATTTTTCACAACAAATTCATCCCATATCTGGCCTCAATAATCAATGTCCGGCACCTCAAAGACTAGTAGGTAGGACGTGACAAAGCAAGTAGAGCTCAGTTCAGCTCCAACCTACTAGTGGAAAACCTACTAACATTCAGGTAGAAGGATCATTCTACGGTTAGAAGATCTTACAATTTTCAACAAAAAACTAAATGACAGGTACACGACAACCAAAGTGGTAGAGTCTTCATTCTCAGTGCTCTTATTTATATATGATTGAGTTCCACCTTCAAAAGGTACGAAATCTCTAGCATTTCACGTAAGTTTGGTTCAACGTCAGTTTGGATTAAGTTATGTACGTGGCTAAGTATGAGTTCTGTTTATAGGTTGCTGACAAAGTATGTCAAAGCCTACTTAGGATTTTTATTAATGTCTCACCTCAAATAGAATCGTGAAGGAATCTTACATAGGTTTATAATAGAGATGAACTACTCCCCTCATCGCCAATTGATTTTCAGATGGAATCCATGAATATTAATATGGGCGATTAATAAATAATTTTACTTTGCACACGTCATCAAAATCTTACTCATGGAAGAACACGTGCAAGAAGCACACTCGCGTGAAGTTCTTCCAAACTAGATGCACATCAATCGAATTGGTACAGATAATCTCAACTCATGGTAATTCAACTAATTTTCCCCACTATGCGTGCGATTACCTAAATGTTAGGAGGTGAAAACCGTAAATTCAAAATTCAAATCCTTTGACACCAACGGTTATTTATGAACCTCTATAAATATTGATGGATATGAGGAGTAAGACAGGGATGTGAGTTTTATTCCTCCAAGCATAGACATTTATTGTGGTAATACATAACACT